GAAGTTAAAAATGGCTTTAGCATCGCTCTCATGCCTTTGTTGCAGCACACTCATCTTGAAAAGCTGTTTGGATGGCAAATGTGGTGGTTAATTAGCTTAGGAAATCTTGTGTGCATCCAGCCTGAGGGCAACGCAGAGAATGAAAGAGGCTGTTCTGAGCCAGCCAGCCCTCTGTAAACTCTTATGTAAGGCAGAATCTGCATCCTGTTTCTCTCAGCTACATTATTGATGCAGGCTTCTGTTACCACTGACTGTGTTTGTGTGAGTACGTGCCCGCGGACGTGTACACCTGTAAGTCACAAGCCGAAAAGTCTCTCACCTCTGCTGTTCTGTAGAGAGGGTGGTGTCCTCCAGCTGATGTCTTGTCACATTCTCTCCTCCCCTTTCCACCTCTCTGCATGTTCTGTTGTTCTTTCTTCACCTCTTTCTTTTTCCCACTTCTATTAATGTAAGTCCCCTTTCTCCTCCTCCTCCTCCTCTGTCTCTCTCAGGCCTTCATTTCTCACTAACAGATGTTCTCTGCACCATGTGGGAGGGCATTCCTCGTCTCTGCTTTGAAAGCTTAAGAAAAAGAAGACTTACTCGAAGTAATCAAACAAGGACAGCGAAGGCAACACAACTCCCTAACTCAGCAGTCTCGCAGTAACTTCTGCTGTCCTGCTTTCCCCTGTAGAGAAGGTGTCAAGTTAAAGATCAGAGTGCTTTTGCCTTTTTATAACACACTGCTGCTCCCAGTGTTACACAATATCTGAAAGGTCATAGACGTGCATACACAGACACACACTCACGTGCAAAACAGTGCATGAGTGAGTAGCAAAGATGACTGGAAGTCAAATAGAAAAACACTCTCACATACACACAACAGCAGAAAGTGAGAGGGAGGCAGGAAAGCATAAACCTGACTCCTCAAACCTCATGGGTTCTTTAAAAATTCAAACATGCCAAAAGAGCACCGTGGGAGTCCTCCTGCAGGTCAAGAGTAAGGAAGGGATGAGAAGCAGAGGGGAGGGGGGGAGAGTGATAGACAGAGAGAGGAGTGAGAGACATGAAAGAAAAACAGGAGAGAGATGTTTTCATGTATTTTTTTGTCTTCCTTTGTCTCCCCCGAGAATGAGAGTAAAGTCTAGCACTATGTAGAGCTTCAGGGAATGAGGGAAATGTCTGTTTATGAGTGAGTGACTGAGAGTATTTTACATGTCCAACCAAAAACAGTGGCCTGAGTGGAAAAAAGGGGATAGTGTGTGTGTGTGTGTGTGTGTGTGTGTGTGTGTGTGTGTGTGTGTGTGTGTGTGTGTGTGTGTGTGTGTGTGTGTGTGTGTGGCCATGTACTGACATGGTGGCTGGGTGCTGGATGCTGCAGTAAGGTGACCCACTTACACAGAACACCCCCCTCCTGAACAAACACACACACACACACACACACACACACTTACACATGCCTCTGCACACTCCTGAACACTCACACCTCACCCGCTGGAGGATGCTTTGGCCCCATTTCAGACAGTAATGTGTTTCAAGAGTTGTGGAAGATGGGGCCGGGAGAGTGTGTGTGTGTGTGTGTGTGTGTGTGTGTGTGTGTGTGTGTGTGTGTGTGTGTGTGTGTGTGTGTGTGTGTGTGTGTGTGTGTGTGTGTGTGTGTGTGTGTGTGTGTGTGTGCGTGCGTGCGTGCGTGCGTGCGTGCGTGCGTGCGTGCGTGCGTGCGTGCGTGCGTGTGGTGGGGGAGAAGGAGAAGGGAGAAGGATAAAGCAAAGGAAACAAAAATTCGGGAAAGCAGATAGAGGTCACTGAGAAGATGTACTGTAGGTAAAGTGCACACACCGGGTGGTCCTCAGGATCATAATAGACGAACAGGGAATATTGTATGTGGTAGCTTGTTAAAGTGCGTCTGTGGGCACATTTCCCTCCCAACTAATCTAGTGCAGCCATTGACTCTGTGTACGTCCATGACATTCAGCAGAAAGGTCAACTCCTCGCCGGTATGCACGAGATAACAGGCCAGACACATCCATAGTGCTACAAAGAAAAACAGTGATATAATACAAGATAACGCCACACAAATGAAGAGGTGATGAACCCGAATCCATTATGCATCCATTTCATTCATGTATGAATATCTGATTTGTCTCCATTGAGGTTTGGTGGCTTGCAGGGAGCAATCAGCTCAGTGGGAATTAACTCATTCACAACTTGAGAGGGCTCATAGAAAAGCAAGAAAGTGTGAGTAGAACTTAATGGGAGATGTATAATATCACCATCTAGTGGAGAAAATAAATCCCAACATATTTATCTACATTATTATCTGGATAGAATACCTACCAACAGGAAGCAGTACAGCGGGGACACTAAAACTATAACTCTCTCTTCTGCTGGGTTTCTCCCAACGGGCCTTTACAGCAAGTACTGTGACAGCGCTCCTTAAACATGCTGCTCCCAAACCATTTCATAAACAAAAATCCACATACAAAAATGGAAACATTATTTGAGAACATCCCACTTAAATGAGTTAAGATAGCTCAGAGTTTTTAAGCTTGACTCATGTTAGGTACCGTGAGTCAGGATCTCTCGGTGGAGTTCTGCACTGGCTTTAAAACTGAGACATGACCCCCAATTTTTGTTTTATTTAATTAATTATTGACTGTTGTCTCACAAGGCTAACTGGCTACACGTTGTCTCTTTCCCTCTTCCCCACTGGGCATTGCAACATATGACATGCAGTGACGCAGATGACAAATGGCAGAGTCATGAGAGCGAGAAATTTCTTAATAAATTACATGTGAAAATATCTGAACCCATTTAGGAAAATAAGCTGTTTTGCTGAGACTTAGAAGAGAGGATTCATACCACTCTCATGAATGTCTGATTAATATGAAGCTGGAGCCAGCAGCCAGGCTAACAGTTTCCAGAGGGACTAGAGGATTATTATTGGAGAAGAGTTGTGCAAACCTGCTCTTCACTTAGCCTATTTTAAAGGTCCAGTGTGTAACATTTAGGAGGTTTAATGGTAGAAATGGAACATAATAGTGTATGATCACCTGGAAATAATAATCATTGTGTATTTGTTGCCTTAGAATGAGCTGTTTCTATCTACAGGGGGAGGTCCTCTTCTACGGAGTCCCCCATGTTGAACTGCCACGTTTCTACGGTAGCCCAGAACGGACAAACCATACTCTAATTTCACACTATTTCACACAACCAGAGGTTTAAACTGCTACTAATCAGGTGTGAAGCGACAAACATGATGTCAGTTGGTGAAGCTGGACTGGTTGGACCGGATTCATCCTTAAAAAGACACTCCCAAACTCTTGTGCAAGTCCTTTACTGTGTGGTGGAACAACTTCTGTATCCTGGAACAATTGGAGACAGGGTAATGGGTACTACAGTAGACAAGAGGAAAACACTTGGCTGCTGTACTGAATATGTAAATGTAATCAGCCATCCAGAGGCCATCATATGATTTGTCAGTGGAGCATGAGGTTTTGTGCTGTTGTGGGTCTTCATTAGCTAGAGGGAGAAATGCAAAGCCCAGGTGAAAATGCTGGTTTAGACAGCTGTGTTCATTATCCACACATTTAGAATAATCATTCACCATATACCAGGTAGCACAGGTGGAGCTGTACTGGAGTAAGTGGAAACAAAAAAAAAAAACTTTAGATTTATTGTGAAACAACACTGGTTCTGATTCATGTGACTGCAAAGTACAAGCCACGCAGGGCCTCGGCAGTACAGTATAAGTCATGTGAACACAAGCGATAAATGCTGCATTCTAATGTATTCAATCATAATGATCTAGTGTACAGTACAAATGCTTTCTGCAGCCTGAACACATTTTAATAAATGCAAAGACTTAAATCTGGGCCTCGGTAGGTGCCATTTCAAGTTAAACAGAATAGCAACATTGGTGTTAGGCTCCAACAGCGAACCACGTCAAGGTGCAGGGTGTGTACACACATTAATCAGGAAAGTCAACATATCAATATTGCAATGTCTGAACATGCAGATAATCTCTGTTTGTCCTGGTGATGAGGCAGACCATGGGAAGCACATACACTCTTTGCTTTGCTATACGACACCACTTCAAGGATTGCTCATATTATTGTCACTATGATACTGATGTTGAATGCACCAATATAATTTCATGATATTCCCAGCAGTTATAACATGGGAAATAATTGAGCGCTCGGGTGCATTTAATATCCTTACAGAGTTTTCTTTCCGGTTTCACAATAACTCCCAGTTACACTATTAGCGCTCTCTCTATTAAAGCCTCCTGCCATAAAGGGGAAACGGAGCCAAACAAATCATTAATTTCATACTGTGTGAGGCAGTCTGAACAGTGTATGACAGGGTTATCCCTCTTTTTGCAACAGGTTTTTAAAAACTGCCTCTACTTTATTAATTGGTACAGTTGACTGTAAAGTGTGGCATAGGAAGGGTTAAGTACCGGTATATAAAACCTAAAGTGATCTTGTATTTAGGTTTGTGCTGCCACCTTTCGTTCACCTGCGGTATGTTCATTATGAGTAAAACTTTTTCATTTGGACGCAAGATGTCGCTTTTGAGCAATAAATAAATAAATAAATAAATAAATATAAAATCCCCCGCATCAACAGTTCTTCTGACAATAACTCTGATTTGTGACTTACCCGATTGTTTACACAATCATCATGATAAGAAAGCAGCTCAAAAACATTATTACATGTGTTGTCACGAAGATATAAAACATTTAGTTTATTTATTTATTTTTTATTTACTATTTACTTTTGTCAACCACATTTATCAAACAGTCGGAACAAAAACAGCGTTTACCCATCAACTTCAGATTCAATGCAGCAAAATAAAATCTGTAGCTAGCTTCCAGGAGAAAACTCATTGATAATCAACGAGGAACAGAAGCGATACATATAGCTGACCTGGGATCTGATTTCTACTCATCTCCTCCGTCACACTAATGTAACTGGCGGAGTCAATCTGATCCCAGGTCGGTCTTCTCACCGCGCTCCCATGCGGTGACCACGTGTCTGTGTCCGGCCTGCCAGCGGACCATGTGGAGCAGCAAGATGGCGGCGCGGTGGAGGGGGAATGACGGGAATTTAAATGCCGGTAACAGCGACTTTCTGACCAGCAACACTCCCAATGAGGTACCGGTTTGTTCATTTTAGATAGCTGGACATTAAAAGAGCGGCCCACGAGCGGGTTTCGATGTATTAATAACGGTGATTCGCCGGCGCGCGAGGCCACATGCGGGCACGGCGACACGTGGCTGAAATGAGGGAGTAGTACTACTGAGACACTGACCGTGTAGCTACGGGGGAAGCTCACCGACACGTTAGTTAATGTGGTTTAATTTTAATGTTTAACATGATCTCCTCCGGTAAGGGTTCACGTGCGGACGCTGACAGGGAGACCGCTTCATTTCCTCTAAAGTACAACGTGTTCAGATAAGGCTGCACCCTGGACACCGGTGGGGCTCACTTCCCCGAAGCCTTTCTCTGATTTTTCTTTACCTATGCTCAAATGTTTCCAGTCAGGCGCGGGAGTGGACAGCTGTCACCAGAGAGCGATTACAGTATGCGGTGTGACAGTGGGACAGACTGTGTTACAGTGGGACAGACTGTGTGAGGGCTCTGGTTGTAGCTTTCCAGAGGTGGTGTGCGAGTTGTGACCCGTCTCTAGGGCCTCCTGTCCCCTCAACCCTCCTCCTACCTACATGCACACTCGTCCTAAAGAGACGTAGGATACTTTAATCATTGTCCATGCTAATGAGTGAAGCCACAGAGAGGGTTTCACTGTACATTGGTTATTGTTCACAGTGAGAAACGGAGCCCATCATTCAAATGTCTGTTCAGATAATGTCTGAAAGGATTGCTGGGTTAAGCAATTAGTTGAGTGTCAATCTGCAGTCAATTCATTGTTTTAAATCCCTCTCAAGTAATGTGGTTTTGGTAGTAGTTGATGATGAGCGACTGATAAAACATGACTTTGAATATATGGACTCGGGCGTTGACTATTCATAGACAGTGATTGATCAGTTTATAAAGAAAGTTGATAGTTAATCATAAGTTTTTTGTTTTATTATTTTAATTAGTTGAATATCTTTCTAATTTAAAGATGAATGTGTCCCTATCAATGCATTTATTTATTTCATTGCTTAATAAACATGGATTACACTTCAGCTCTGCCTCACTGGTTTTATTGCAGCTGTATTTGAAGCATTGTCAGAATTGGCAGCTCTTCCTGTTTATGCTGGGAACGTTGAATTTGAGCTTGTTGCGTCCTGTGCCTCAGCTTCTGGTCACACCCTGTGGATAGGAGTGTATTGTGACATTAAAGGAGGTAGAACCAGATCAATGTTCATGCAAATCCACAACACATGTGTTTAATATAACGTTTGTGTCTCTGCAGTTGATCCTGAGTCGTTGTGATGTGGAAGTTGTGGAGATGGACGCGCAGTCCTGCGTGGATCACTCAATACGGGCCATTTTTGAAGACTCCGCTGTCGTTTCAGAGGTCGGAGTTAAAGCGGATCATTTCATTTAAACCATTCTGAGGAGCATATCTGGGGGTAGCCCAGGACTATTACCTTTGTACATGTTGGTAGGGAGTGAATTTGGCATATAAATCATCAATAAATGTGGATCTGGTACCCTTTTTCAGGATAAGAGTGGAGCGGAGGAAGAGAGTGAGACCCTGCTGTCAGCCCTGACTGAGATGCTGGACAGTGTGGAGGATGTCAACGGGACTCTGTCTCCCTTTGACACCCTGCCAGACACCAAGCTCCTCACCCACCCAGAGCGCAGGGACAACTCAGTGGTAGGTGCACAGTCAGGAGTAAGAAGCACAAGCCTGAAACAACTTATTGGGAAATAATAATTAAATAATAATAATCTAGTTCCACAAATCCATTCTAATGCATTGCAGTTGTACTTCATGGTCACACTCTAACTATAAGCAGACATTAAACTTAACTTACTACCTCATGATGATCACATGAATTCGCCTGATTAGGTCTTACATGTTACATGATAGCTTAGATAAAGATGAATAGTACCTATAAAATAGTCTTAATTATAATATCCTTTTCTGTTAATGAAAGAATAGACACTAAAGATCTAAATGTTTTTTTCTTCCCCCCTAAGGAACTGTCACTTGCTGAGAGACTTAGACCGAGATCCAAATCATCAAATGTAACATTCACAATTAACATTGATGGAGAAAAGGAAGATAAGAGCAAAACAGAGAGAAAGAGCCCTCCACATCTGTACAAACAACAAATTCGGACATTGTTTCACGCCAGAAATAAGAAAGCAGAGGCTGAAGTCGAGGTCTTCACCACAACGTCTCTCGTCAACCTGGTGAATCTCATGCACCCTTATTGTCTGAAGCTGCACGTGGAGGAGGAGGGGGATAAACTGAGGAGGAATCACACATTATTCTCTCAGGAGGAGGTGTGGAAGTATGAGAGACCCACCGAAGAGAGCGATGAAGAGATAAATGTTGTGTCTGATGACGAGGTAACTGTGAAAGAGACAAAGGAGGAAGAAGAATGTGATAATGGCAAACTCTTGAAGAGTGCGTTGCTGAATGGAAACTCACCCAGAGCTCCACCATCCAGAGGGAAGAAAAGGGTGAGCTTTGGCCCTGTTCAAGTGTCTTCATTTGATGAATCAGTGGAAAAGGGATTGAAAGAGCAAAATCTAACAAGTGGACACACAAGTGAAACGGTTCCACTGAACAGCACAAAAGCACTTGAAAATCCAACTAGCTCAGCATTTGTACCTCAAACATCGTCCTCAGAAATGAACAAGGCTGAGGTTCTGCCACCCAAAGGTGAGACAAAGGCCAAGTCACTCAGCCTTCAACAGTACAGACAGCTGCGCCAAAAGAGACAACCCCTGGTGGAGAAACAGGGGAACTATACCACCAAGTGGCCCTCTGTTTCTGAGCCCCCGAAGGAGCTGACCCCCATCCTCTGTTTACAGGGACAAACACACAACGGCTGTGGACCAAAGACGGCACACCATTATGCAGATGGTAGGAGAAGTGGCGCCAATCAGCTCCCCACCTCTGCTCCACCTAGGCCTCACCCCTCAGAGGTCAAACCATCTGCTCTTCTACGTCGCAGCGGGTTAAAACGCCCCAGGACTGAATCCAAAATCATCTCCCCTGCCAGTCCGCTGCCAGACGTCACAGCTAACCTACCGGTGAATGTTATTGTGCCAGAAAGCAAAAACAGTCCAGCAAAGAAACCCACCGTGCTCAGTATTGATCCCCCAAATCCTGTCCTCCTTCCCCTCCCAGTTAGCCAAACAACATCACCATCCACTGACCGCTCCTCCCCACCAGAGTCGAAAGTGGAGTTCAAGCACTTTCAAGAAATCCAAAATGAATCCTCAGTCATACCTCTTCAACAACAGCCATCCTCCTTAGGGCAAAAGCTTAAGGTGTTAAAACCTCGGGTCTGCACCATCCTGTTTCAGGAAATTCAAAACAAGTTTACTAAGATAGCTTCAGGTGTCTCCTCAAGGTCTCCAGCACTGTGCCCAACCACAACACAAATCCAAACTTCTTCAGAGTGCAAGATACTACAGTCTCAGAAATGCAGTCTGATCCCGACAGAGGAAATCAAACTGGAACCAAAGACTCCTCTGTCGCAAAGTGCAGAGACAGTGAGGCAAACCAAGTGTCCTTCCTTCTCATCACATATTAGTCAGCTGCCTACTCCGGTAGATGCTTGCATACCAGTAAAGGAGACACTGTCAGAGGTTCTTCCCAGTAAATCCCCGCCTGAGGAACCATCTCCTCCTCTTCAGTTTGGCTGCAGAGTGCAGAGTGCAACCACTGACTCAGGTAAACTGTTGAAACATGTTAAATATAATCCATGATGGCACTAAAGCTACATTTTCATCTTCCAAATCTAATCTTTCCGGTTCTGTTTGTTCTTCTACTTCAGGAATTGAAGCGCCAGATCTGACCAGCCTGCTGGAACAGTTTGAGGAAACACAAGGTGTGTGATCAGATTACTGATAACACTATTGTTCGATGCTTGTGTCCGGTCTTGTGTAACCTTTTTTTTTTTTTTAATTCTTCCTCATCCAGCCAAAGAGGAGAGAGTGGAGCCCAAACTTATAAATGCCACTTCACCTTCAAACCTACAAACAGAAGGAGGCCTGAACAGAACTGAGCCTGTAGGAACAGAGCGAGCCTCCACATTACCACTGACGCCCCCTGTGGAAACACTTAAGCCTTTAAGCACTTCAGAATCACCTGGGACTCCGGAAACCCTCAGGAATATACTGCATCTTCAAACGTCAGAGGATGTGGACATACCAGAGCCCCTCGGCACTGAAATCATCCTTAGCACACAACATGATCTGCCAGCAAGACGCAAAAATCCTCCATCCAAGGCCATTCAGATAATTGACCCCCGTCCTTTACCGTCCAAAAAGACTCACAGTAACCTTTCAGAGTTCCCTGCTGCTCACACCTCTCCTCACCTATATTCATCTATATCCTCCGATCACAACTACTGCGGACCTCTAGACCGTTCACCCACAAGTGCTACTCAGTGGAGCAGAGCCTCTAAACTCAAGGATATCACTAAAACCACAGATAAATTGCAGGTTAGCACCCACGACTCAAATGCTGCTGCTGAATGCCAAAAACAGACCTCCATCAGTGACATTGACCCCAACATCAGGGCTGTTGATGACTCTGCAAAGTCTGTCACGCAGCCTTCCTCTGAGGAATCGAGGACCAGATCAGAGTCAGCAGACAAAGTTCTGTCACTTTCAGACAGCGCTGCCACAAAGCAAGACTGTGTTCATGCCACTGAAGACAAGAGGGCCCCATGCGCCCTCCCTACACCTCCACCCAGCCCTCCTGTCAGAGGGAGGAACAAAAGGAGGTATCGGAGAGGATCTCCTCGTTCTGATTCTAGCTCCAGCTCTTGTTCCTCATCGTCGTCCTCCTCCTCCAGCTCTGCATCTCGATCTCCAAAAAGACAAAAGTAATCATCTTCTGTAACTCATGTCTAGTTTTAGTCTTTGATTGTCCTCTCTGTGCATAACTCTCAATTTGTCCATCTTGCAGGCGCCATCACAAGCGTTCAGAGAGCAGTTCATGTTCATCGTCCTGCTCTTGCTCCCGCTCCCCACCTCGGCGGCGCTACAGGTGGTCTTATTCTAGATCAAGATGCAGTAGGTCGAGATCCAGATCTTGGTCCCGTTCAAGGTCCCCATCCATATCCCAATCACCATCCCCACGGATGTGCCATAGGCAGTGGGGAGAAGTTTGCAGGTCAGTTAATGTTGAAGATTTTCAGCAAATAAAATATAGGTGTACCTTTTTTCTTTTTTTTTAAATGTCTATTTTTACTTGTATCTCTCTCTGGCTTCACTGTGTGTGTAATCTCAGTCTTCCTCTCATCTCAACTCTTCATCCCTACAGCAGCAGAGACTCTAGGAGGCTCAGGAGAGAGCACGAGATCAGGATTCAGAAACTTAAAGCCATAGTGAGTAAAGCATTCCTGACATGTCAGCTGTGTAATGAGTGTTTGAGTAATGAGAGGTGAGTAATTATAAAATCCCTCATACAGGACGAGCGCAGGGTGGTGTATGTCGGACGCATCTGCAGGTCTATGACACACAGCGAACTGAGGGAACGCTTCTCTCAATTCGGAGAAGTAGAATGTGTGTCTCTTCACTTTAGAGAAAGAGGGTACGTATGCACACTGAAAATTATTAAAATTAGGCGTTAAAATGTTTCTATTGTCTTTACAGTGTTTTTTTTTACCATTAATCTGTATTTATCATTATTAAAATCCTGCGCCTTTGGTTCCCATAGTGACCACTACGGCTTTGTCACATTCTACAACATGGATGATGCTTTTGCGGCCATTGATAATGGCAGCAAACTACGGAGACCTAACGAGCTGCCGTTTGACCTCTGCTTTGGTGGAAGAAGACAGTTCTGTAATTCAGACTATGCTGACCTAGGTGAGCCTCAAAACCACAAAGTCAAGTAGGTCGCTATAGTGAAGGCTGGAGTTTAAGTTAAAACTATTTATAGTTTCTCTCTTGGCATACACTGTCACGGCCCTGTCACTGTTAGTTTTGCAAGTTGCACCATAAAAACCTAAATGTGGTATTCCTGGTAGAATCATGAGCCAGGTTTACATTTAAATGCATATTTTAAAAGGTTTTTTTAGAAAATTGGTAGAAGAAAATGTGAATCAGTGCTCCTTTACATCCACTGTTTTTAAGTCAATATTAGAAGTTTAGCACACCACGATAAACAGGTGGTGGTGCAGTTGGGTGCCATTAAACCATTGCAGGGGGTTTTATGTGCAGATAAAAATATATATATATGGAAACACTTGGAACTTAATGTAGAGTTGAGTTTCTGACAGTGCCAATGTAAACTGTTACTGTTATTAAACAGAACAAAAAGTCTTTCATAGCGTCATCAGGAGCAGGTTGTTGATTTGTTCAAAAACATCATCAGCCTAAGTGATGCATCTGGGTAATCGGCTTACCAGCAGCTGTTTCCTGACACTTTGACCTGCTCCTGATGTTGAATTTCAAGTCAAACTGAAAGCTTGAAACAATACCTTCTTGCTTGTGTTGGATCTGGACATTGTGTGCTTCTCAAAGTTTACTGCAGTGAGACTGTATGATAGGTATCATTCAGTGCCATTCAATGACTTAGATACACCCCTGTTCCTTTTATTGTGGAAGTCACTGAACACAACAGTAAACGTTCCCCCTTTTCCTCAGACGCAAACAGAGATGCGGACCCGTCTCCTGCCAAGAGCAGGTTTGAGGACCTTGACTTTGATTCGCTGCTGAAACAGGCCCAGGGCGGATTAAAGAGGTAGCAGAGCTGTGTGGAAGGACGAGTACACCAAGCTGGATGTGGCAGAGATAAAAAGAACCTCAGGGCCTTGTGCTCCAGTTATGTAGCAAACCTTTGTATGTTAGTAGTTTTTGCATGTTTTGACCCTTATATGCATGCAGTTTATGATGTGTACAGTTAACATGTCAAATATGTAGCACTGTTAATTTGATAACGTTATTAGTGGAGCCCACTAAACATTTTTGTTGCGATTCCATAACACTGATAATGTTTTATATATTTGTATATAAAAAAATAAAGGCTCTTTATTGTGTCTCCTGATGCAGTGCTTTCATTAGTAATGTTATTAGTTACAAGTAAAACTGTCCACTGGCTCAGAACAATTCTGACCTACTAGCCAGTAAATCAGTCCTCTCTCTTCTCTTTGTTGTTGTAAATCTTCACAATGACCCAGAATCACGTTCCAGCTCTTTCTCAGTTTCTTCTATAGGCTCCTGTAGTTGACTCAGAATCCAGACATTTTTTGCTGTGCGTGCCCCTAATCTTAAAAGTGATTTTCATTTGCTGTCTTCAGATCCTTAGAGCCTTATTCCCTTCCTTCACAGAGTCAGCAACTTAATTTATGCTGACCACGTTATGCTCATTTGGAAGCTTGAAGACTGTCCTATTAAATATCAAAGCAGTGACATAAAATGTGGCTTTAACTTGGACATATCCAACATTTCAACATATTTTTCTGCCTCATGACTTTGTAAGGTTGTTCTCTGCCCTTCTATAGACCTTTCTCATGGCAGACATAATGCATTGTCAAACAGGTGTAATAACATTAATTATAAATGTATTCCAATTAATTGTTCCACTACCACAGCCCTATTGTATCCCCACTGGCTCATTGTCATGGTTCTCTAGCACACCTAAATGAAACAGAGCCATCATTAATATTAATATACAAATTAATATTCCAAGCATATTATCTTTATATGTCTTACAACATGTCTGTAAGGGAACTTTTGGCTGAAAATGTTCAGGTTTTTATGGAGAACTTGTTCACTTTATTTATCTATTTTAAAGAGCTAGGCACCAGCATACAGTTCATCACTTGTAAAATGGTGATTATCAGGCCTCAATAAGCTGAGGGAATTAGTAGCCCATTCAACTGGCTGCTTTTGCATCAGTCACTGTCTAAATTGCTGGTAAATATCAGTCACAAATACTAAATAAACCAAATAAAACCACACTCATATATGTTTATGCAAGCACACCCTCAACCAGTGGTAGAAGAATTATTCAGGTCTTCAGATCTTGTATGAATACAGTGTTTTAAGTACAAGTCCTGCATTCAAACTCTTTATTAAATAAGAGTGCAAAGGTATTAGGGACAAAACATACCAAAAGTAAAGGCACCATTATGCAAAATATATTATAATTATCGATGCAATTTGTGCATCACTTTAATGTTACAGCTGGTAAAGATGGGGCTTATTCCTATTTATTTATATACTGCTGGGTAGCTTACTTGTAATAATATATAATAATTAATTTGCTAACTTATATTTTGCAATTATCTAGTAGCTAAAGCTATTACGTAGTGGTAAAAAGTATAGCAAAGTATAATATTTGCCTACAAAATGTACCTCAAACTATATAAAAAAAGAGTTTCTGTTGTTTGGTTTGCTCTGTCTGCCCCCCTTCCTGTTTTCAGGTGTACTGTCCCTTTAAGACGTTCACCCGGTAGTCGGACGCGTACAATCAACGTGCGTCTGAATCTGAGGTGGACTTCACTCATCACAAAACAAGAGCTGCTTTTCCAATCCGCTCCGAGTATTTACAACTTTAGACTTCAGACCATGTTAGCATCATGTTGGGCAGTGCTTAAAAACTGACTGGTCTGCGCAGGCGTGAGAGGACGGAGCAATAAAAGTCAGTCAAATTGAAGGCTGGCATACAAAACCATGAGTGACAGTACCGCTGTGTCAGTGCTTGTGTCTGAGTATTAGTAAACTGAACACTGAGAGAGAGAGACTACAGCCAGCACTACATTTAACCATGTCGGAACCGGGCAGTGCCAGGGGCCAAACCCAGACTGGGGCGAGGCGCTTCATCAGTGGAGTAGTGGAGGGTGAGTATACTGGTCCCAGTGGTCCCAGTGTTCACACAGATCAGCTGAATCAATAAGTGAATACCCACATTAGGATGCAAGCTGCCTGGATTTACATAAAGTATAATTTGTAGCAATGCAGGCAGGATATTGATCATGTATTGATCACTTCTGGTGAGGTGGTTTTTACTTTGGTGCTTAACTTGACCTTCGCTTGATGCAGGTTTTTATGGGCGGCCGTGGACTATGGAGCAGAGAACAGAGCTGTTTAAAAGGTATGTGGCTTCTAAGTGAGCTTACAACTCCCACTATGAAGAAGAGCAGGAACATACCTGTAAATGGAGGTTGAATACATTTTTTTTAAAGAAGTCAGATAAAACCAGAGCCCACCCTAAAGGTGGCACTTGCTTCATAGTGGGTGTTGTCCCATAGTGGTGTTTATTATCTGTTGTCCTGGGAATAAGGTCAACAACACTGGACAAACAATATTTAGCAAACATGAATTTATCTGTTGTCTGTGTAATATTTTCTGTGATCATTTGTCTCGATTCATTTTCACTTTTTTAAGACCCTCTAAGAATACAGACTGATGTACTGTACTAATACTAATATACCAGCTGACATAATACGTGTTTGGTCATTGCTGGTGTTCCACAGAGAACAGAAGTGGGGTTTGAACACATATCTGTACGCCCCCAAGGATGACTACAAACACAGGATGTACTGGAGGGACCTGTACTCCCCTCAGGAGGCAGGTGAGTTCCACCCCTCGTTCATCGAATGAAATCATAAATCTCACACATCTCTTGGAACTGGACTTTGGCCCCAGTCTGAATAATGAGTTGTTTTTAAACCATGCCATACATCAGGATCCTCATTCAGAACTGTGCAAAGTTGTGTTCACACACTGAACCAAGAGGAAAGAAATCGGAGGAATGTGAAATGACAGATAAAAAATGAAAGAAGTTGATAACTACAGTATAAAAATGACCAAAGTCCCATTCAGCGTCATCATTATCTCCTTAGAGACAATGTTTAATTGCTCGTTTGGAGCCTCTCCTTTTGTTAGTTGGATGCATCTTATCAGTAATGTTACATACTGAAGGGCAGTGATGATTCTGTCTGATGTATCCAAGTGCAGGTAGAACAGGCAGATCAGTGGACTTTAGGCCATAACATATTAATATATTTGTAGATTTGCATAAATTAAAGGCCTAATGATGCCTAATGATCATTTACCTCTAATTCGACAGCATTTATTGAAGATATTTCTCTAACTGGGACAACAGTGTCTTTTTTTTTAATACGATTTCTTTTCTCATATTGTATTCTTTTCCCAGAACAACTCATCGCCCTGATATCCGCAGCTAAAAAGCATGACATCGAGTTCATCTATGCCATCTCTCCCGGCCTGGACGTTACTTTTTCCAACCCCAAAGAGGTCGCTGCCCTGAAGAGGAAGCTGGACCAGGTAGGACTTTGTATGCAGAGGTGAAGGGTGGAGCACGAGAGATAATTTAATCTCAGCTGTATGGAGCTTTATGGCTCTATGGGTGTTTGTTGTGGACACCATGTTACTTTATATCAAACATGCAGCAGGAAAATAAAAGCATTTGACAGGCAGGCATCTGATGGCACTTACGGTCTCCAAACTTCAAGCTGTCCTCTGCCTCCTTCAGGTAAAGGAGTTTGGCTGCAGGTCCTTCTCTTTACTGTTTGATGACATCGAGACTGAAATGTGTCCAGCTGATAAACAGGCCTTCAGCTCCTTCGCCCACGCTCAGGTGGCCATCACTAATGCAGTGTACCAGCACCTGGGTGAACCTGAGACCTTCCTCTTCTGTCCTACAGGTCGGGCAGTGGGGTTGCTCAAAACTGTCTGACTGAAATGGAACTAGCATACTGCCTTTGTTTCTGTGAACTGGTTATTATTTAGTACCAGTGAACATAGCCTGTGCGATACCTCTAATTTACATAATCAGCTCAGTTTTTCTTTTTTCATCAAGGTTTTCCATCATTCACACTTGCTCTGTCCCTGTTTAATTCAGATTATTGTGCTGCGTTCTGCACTCCCAGTGTGTCCCAGTCCGCTTACCTGCACACTGTGGGAGAGAAGCTGCTGCCTGGGGTAGACATACTGTGGACTGGTAAGGCTGCAATGTGCGGGAATCTCACTGAACCTGTGCTAATGTGTTTAACTCCACAGAAATAACCCAAAGATGGAGTTTTATAACACATTTGTTTCTCTCTAATTTGTGTTATTTAGGTCCCAAAGTGGTATCCCACAAAATCTCTGTGGAGTCTATAGAGGAGGTGTCCTCTGTCCTGAAGAGGGCACCGGTCATCTGGGACAATATCCACGCAAATGACTATGACCCCCAAAGGCTCTTCCTCGGACCCTTTAAAGTAAAAAGATAATTTTAGATGTTTATAGATGCCTGTTTATGCTTCCGGTGAAATGATGAACATTGTCTTTTCCTTTTAGGATCGTCCCACTGAGCTGATTCCCAAACTGAGAGGAGTGCTCACCAACCCCAACTGTGAGTTCTACCCAAACTTTGTGGCCATCCACACGTTGGCTACATGGTGCAAAGCAACAACTGATGAAGGACAGAGGGATGTGGAAATGGGTGAGCGTCTAGTTTTTCTTTAAAAAAAACACAACTGTGCACACAACACAGCTTTGGCATGTACGCAGAATATCGTATTTGACTCTACTTTTTCAATACAGCAATTTATCTACTATTTGTAATGATGGTATAGCACATTAATATGGTTACCAGTTTACATCAAACAGAGCCTGAAATGTGATATCTTTGGAAATGCCGACTTTGTGCAGTATCTCACTGTCTCTGACCTCCATCACCAGGCGACGAGGAGCAGGATCCGTGCTACAGCCCGCAGAAGGCCCTGACCCTGGCCCTCACTGACTGGCTGCAGGAGTTTCTGAGCACCGATCAGTCTGGAGGTAGAGAGTCATGAAAGAACACTTTTATAAAGAGAGAAGTTTCATGATAATCAAAACACAGAGATGGTGTGGGGAAGGTATTAAGACATGGTGTGTCATCACCCTGCTCATCCGCCCTGGCCCTTGTCGTCCTCCAGCTCGTCTCAAGAAAGAGTCATCAGATGAGGAGCCCATGCAGACTGACATGGGAGAGAGCGCCTATGTTCCAGGACCTGGAGAGAACCCGCTGTACACAGCGGAGCCTCTGACCCTGGATGACCTGAAGCTGCTGTCAGACCTTTTCTATCTGCCATACGAACATGGGCCAACAGCCAGGACTATGCTGCAGGAGCTGGACTGGCTGAAGAACAACAGTCGGGCTGCTGCTGCAGAGACAGACAAGGTATTGCTGTGTGATTATATGTGTTCAAAAAGCAGATAATGTTGTGACTCGTGACTCTAATGCTTAAACATTGTTTTTAAGACAGCAGAGTGGTGCTCAAGAGCGCAGCAGTTTGATGGCATGTGCGAGGCGGTGGTGCAAATGTTCAATCGTCTGTCAAACGCCCCTAACCGCAGCATCCTCTACGACCTCTACAACTACATCTGTGACATCAAGAGTGGGGTCGGTCTGGCTCGAGCCTACGTGAAAACACTGGGTGAGAACATCAGTCTTCTAATGATGATGAGACTACACAGGCTGGTGTGTAAAAGATGTGTTGGGAATTATATTAGTTATTTCTCTTAAACTAGCTACATAGATGACTTTTAATGAGTGATTAAGGCTGAAGACACACAGGACTTCATGGCATCCTGTTCTTTTCGAATGGGGGCAGCATGACAGAAAAGTTAAATGAGTGAAACTTGATCCAGAAAGACACCAATCTCACCATGGGTGTACTGTGTATGTTCGTTGCTCAGCAATTAAAATGTGTTCCTAGTTCCACTACTAAGAGAAAGATGTAAACGTGCAAAATAGTGACGTATTCCTAAATATAAGCTCTAACCCTAAACACTGTTTAAATCTGCACCATCTATTTCAGTGATTTATGAAATTATTCCCGCTACAACCTTTAAAGAACAATCCCTGCAACAAGGCACATTCCTGAGTTTATATCTGTACATCCTTGTTGACACATCACAGTATAGTATTACATTGCAGGATATATTGAAGACAGAAACTGTAGTCAAGTAGGAATTAATGAGATTGTATTGGCAGAATCCTCACGACCATTAAAGTAAGCAGTAATCCCTGCATTCAGATGAAGAAGATGATGGATATGCCCTCAATTGACAGCTTCAGGACGTTGCAGAGGTGTCTGGTTGCTTTAATACGTCCAGTGTCTTTATCTAACAGTAATCAGTTGTGTGGATTTGCAGAATACTAGGACAACTGCTGAATCCAACGTGTTGTGTTTCTTGACTTTATAAAAATCTATAAAAGTTAACCTACAGATGTTATGTTGTGTGTGTGCATTCTATAGGAGGGCAAGGTCAGCCCTCAGCCCAGATAATGAACGATGATCCTGAACCCTGGGGCTTCAGAGGAGGCCTCTCTGGAGAGTTCCAGGTAACTTGAGTGCCTAAAGTCAGAGACAAAATTGAACCTTATATTCTTTCTAATGGGTCATTTTGAATCTGCCATTTTCCCCACTAAGTGCACAGTGATAGGTTTTGTTTATTGGACAAGGAATCTAGTAAATATCTTCTTTTAAGTGTTATTTCATCAATAATTGTTCTGTGTGTTTCTACATGAACATGAATACACTGTATTTCTGTACTTGCAGAGGATGCTGCCTTGCCATGGAAACAGAGACCTGTTCAGACATCCTCCTATGACGGAGGTTTACTGCATGCGGCCCTACTGCCCCGAAGACAAGGTAAGGAGGGCAGATCCTCAGACAGAGTCACATTTAAGTTCACATTGAGTAGTGATGTTACAAAGTATTGTCTTTGTCCTAGACGGAGGTGCAAATGATTTTCAGGGAGATGCAGGGTGAGGAAGGGGGTAAAGGCCCCTTGCTGACACAGCCTCCACTCATCTGTGATAGGTAAGTAAGAGTCACATTTCTCTATTTCTTCTTTCTATTTCTGCTCTCATACCTCAATTGTAAAATGTCCTCTGCCCCACTGCAGCCTGTCAGCAGGAGAAATCCCCCCCTCTCCCCAGTGTGCTCTCGTCCTGGAGGATGAGATTGGGGTGTGTGGTTACGCCCTGGCAGTGACCGACGCCAGACCAGCCGCAGCCAAGATTCAGGTGATCAAATGCAATGTGTAATCGTCTCCACAATACAGTATGAAGATAAAATGCAATATTACTATAATTATTTTATTCTATCTCACTCCTTTAGAGGGCAGTAAGTGATTCAGTGTTCAAGGACTTCCCCTCCCTGGTTACTGTTCAAGTGCTGCCCCGGGTCACCGATCCCTCTCCAGCAAAGCGTATGATTGGTCGGCTGTTGTCCTCCATCAGGAGCAGTGGTAGGTCAAGACCTTGCACAATGCCTGTGATCATTCTTGGATGGAACTGGCCTGCGACTAATTCGCAAACTGAGGTTGAACAGGCTGCATGTTGTTGTTCAGTCAGTCACACAGCACAGTGGTCTTTAACGGTATTCAGCAGATGATAATACTGGCTGGGTCTCCTTCTGGGAACTTTGCATCACTGACGCTGTGTGACTTTATCCCAAGTTTGATCAGTTTCATTTTAAATTTAGAGAACAAACATTAAATCTCAAACACCATCTTAATTTCCTTGTCCGTAACTTTCCAGGTTCCAGAGGAGTGTTCTGTGAGTTGAGGCAGAGCGATCGGAGAATGCTCGACTTTTACACCAAACTAGGCTCCTTCAAACCCATAAAAATGGCCGGTCTACCTAGAGACATCGTTGCCATGGGAACAAGCCTGTGAACAAGATCAATCACAGGGATTTTCCTCAGGTTGGAAATGTTTTGAGATACTGATACTGTGATACAGATGTCGTGTGATTAATTGCTAACTTTGCAGCTTGTCAAACTGAACTCCATTGTAATTTTTAATTAATATCATTATTTGTGTAATTTAGTAACCATCACCATTTGTCCGTGTCCTCCTACATGACATTTGTCAAGGAAATGCTTAATGTAACAAAGTACTAATATAATGATAAAGTGTAACAGAATACTACTGATTTTGTAGACATGAAAATTGTAAAATGTTGTCAACATATGCATTACACACAGACACATTAAAAATAATACATATAACAACACATTCAAACAAGAGTAGATATTTTAATTTTTTGTGTTTTGAGAGGATACAAAAGGAATATATGAATGGTTAATCTTAAATAAAATAGCTGGTGTTTCACTTGTTCTCTGGCTTGAGAAGGAAATGTTTTTTAAAGTTTATTAACATATGTGAGGCAACTTTTTGAGGTGTATCAGAAGTTGATATGCATGAAGTGACTGGACTCATTACATCATAAATCTTCAGTGTGTCTAAACAGGTAAGATAAAACACAAAGCAATGAGTAAGTTTAATATTTCAAGTAAATTAAGCACATTCATTTCTCTGTTTTATTTTATTGTATCCTGTTTCACCTTGTTCCCCTGAGTGTCTGACCAGCAGAGTTTGGCTGCAGGAGAGGAGATCCACATTACCTGGAGTTTGATAGACTGATGACTACAAATTTAAGTGTTTTACCCAGACTAATCTGAAATATCAGAAGTTTCTAACCAAACCATGATTTTTAACTCAGCAGCACCGATATGAAGTAGTTAAGACTTAAAAATACATTAAAGAAACTTATCGTGTGGTGACTGACTAGTGACAATTTCTGTGTGACTGGTGGGTGTAAGAGTCACAGACTGGCAGCTCAAACCAATCACACACGAACAGAGAATTAGTCAATTGTTGGTGATATTGTTGGTGACACTCCCCTAGTGGTGGTGTGGCATTCTCCTACCCTTTTTACCATCTCTACCTCCTTTAAATTATCATACTAAATAATTATGAAATATATAACTATGAGTCAAATGACATTATTGCACAGTAGAAGTGAGAGGGGAATGTAGGACTCAAAACAACAGTGTTGCATGTTTGAAGACCACTTCTTAATAAACTAAACTATATTCGACCCCTGCAGATTCAGCCCTGTCCTCATCATATAAACTCCAGCCCTTCATACTTCACATCCCCTATCTTTGTCTCGGGCATCAGCACCCGACCGTCTAGCGTAAACGCAATCATGTAGGTGGCGATCCTGCCCGCATCCTCCTCGGATTTCAGGGCCAAAATGATCTGATCGTCTGTGTCCGGAACAAATTTAAAGGAGGAGAAGCCGTGAGTTGGGTTGAGTGGTCCAACGTGCCGTACTGTTACATAGCTGAAATCTGCGGGGCAGGACAGGAGGAGGTTTGTGGCACGCCGCTCGTCCGCAGTCTCTTCGTAGTGCTCGTGACTGGCACGGCGAGGGAGGAAGAACCAGCGCTGGAGGCGCTCGCTCCATGCTGCTGATTCATGGATAAGGTAGCCTATAGAACAAAGAGAGTTGTAACAAAATGAATAAGAGGGTATAATAAAAACTAAGAATAAAAAAAAATATGGAGACTATTAATGTGAGTGTCAATCATGGTTTCCCTGCTGTGACAGTTCAGTCTGGGTGACTTACTAAAATCTTAGCCAAAATCAAGAGGACAGACACTGAGTTCATAAAAATGTTGCAACCACAGCAAAAGCTTTACAAGAGCCAACTTGTTGTGCCCTGGGTTTTGCCTCTCAGGCTATATGCAAACTGCTCTACTCTCCTTTTGGTGAGGATGCATGCAGCCTTAGAGGAAGAGCTGCACACATTTCTAAGAACTGAAAAAATCTGTCTTCACTTCTGGGTTTTATTCGTTTATTTTTGGATTAAAGAGCCTGACATCTCAAACAGTAACTACGATGGGATACAATTCAGACTTTGTATGTGGACAGGACTATAATGAAGAAACCAAAAAAATTGGTCATAACCTGGTGGTTGGATCCCTGTGGCGCTCCGCAGGGCGTTGTAGTATGGCACCCAGTTCTCATGCTCCACGTCACCGTGGTAGCCAACAACTTTAACCCACTCTGGGTTGTTGTTGACGACTTCCCCGGAGGTGGTGGTCCACTCCTTGCCCAGACCACCAACATACAGGTGCTCATCCTTCACAGTCAGCCACTCTGCCTTGAATCCTTCACACAAAACAAGGACTGATTTATAAGAAGGCACGTGAACTTCATAAAACGGCCGCCAGCCTTTCCAAAGTTACTGAGTCGCTGTTGTTTTTGTGCTGCCAATTCTGTTTCTGAGGACTTGGATGTGTTGAAAGGATAGAAGTAAAACATTTATTGGAGACTGACCTTTGGAGACCGAGCCATCACCGTCAGGCAATATAACCCACGGGACAGCCTGGTTGCCCTCGATCCGGTACACCACACCTGTCCGGTCATCCACACTGTACAGGTGACCATTAAACACCACCAGCTCTGACAGCTCCATACCTGCAGCACAGTTAGTCAAACATTGAGGTAACCCACATACTGATGGATAAATTCAAAGAATAACAGATCAGTGTGTGTGTGTGTGTCCGTTTCCCTCTACCTCGTCCTTTCTCAGCCAGATGACTCTCCAGAGTGACTGTCTCAGCTTCCCACTCCACCTCTAGCCTGTCAGCGCTATATGAAACCGTCAGGTAACCTCTCTTCATGTAGCTGAACCACGTCTGATCCTTAGAGCTACGTGACGCTGTGTCCAGGTCTGCGATCACACCGATACGGTAGCGCATGCCGTGTTTTGTCTTCTCTGGCGGACTTAAAGGGTACGTGTCATTGTAAGGTTTCTCCCTTTTCTGGTGGCGGGAGAGGCTCCGTGCAGTTTGTCTGTTAGTGTCACTGAAGATGTCATCCTCACCCTCACTGTGCATTTGCAAACTGTGAACCCTGTTGCGATGGTAACCTCTGGTAGCTGTGTCTCTGTTCCCTACTGTCCGGTGCAAGTACAGCATAAGCACTAAAGCCAGCAGGGTCGCCACAGTGATCGCCCGCCATTTAGGGTGGAAGCGCGAGTCTGAGGCGGTAGCTTGTGTCATGGACGCCAAGGCCAGAGGGAGGCCTCGGACGGCAACACCAAAGGAGGTCATGGGAGTATTGTCTTCATCCTCACTGTCAGGCTTCGACTGGGGTTGATAGTCACTATAGCCTGGGATTGGGCACAGACAGGCACATCAGAAAAGAGGCATGATTGAGGATGTGGTGTAACAAAACTGACAAAAAGAGGAATTGCTGTAATTGTTTTCAGCTGACAAGAATCAAATCATTATTTGTAATTGCTTTGTATTGTTAACTTCATCAAAAATCTTTATAAAGTTTGAATAAAAACATTGAAAACAATAGCTGGGGAGGATGAAAGAATGAACACAGGGGAGGAACAACAAAACAGGCTGTTCCTATTGTTCTTTGTTCACAACAGAGCTTTGTTGTGCTGTTCAGGGAAAACCTCCATTATGCATACTGAGTAGGTAGCTGGCACGTCCTACTTCCTCAGGACGACAAGCCTATAATTAACCTCGCTCTTCTCTGATGTCAAATTATTTTGTCCTCCTGAGCCCCAAAGAGTTTTTGTTTGTAGACTGAAACTTCATATCACTAGTGCCGTGTGTCCCGAATTCTACTTTTGACCGTTACAGACATAATCACTGTGTCCCAAATGGAGGTTCTTTTTTTCCCATTATGCGTAATAAATATAACTTGAATCACTTTATTGACTCACTCTAGTCCACCATGGATGTTCTGCTAGTTGTTCCCTGCACTTATGTGAGTAAAACTATTAACTCACCCTAACTTTTATTTTATTTTTTTTAACAGGAGGGAGAAGATCAAACCAACTATTTAAATATTTAAAGCTCAAACTAATTATTTACATATAAGCTAAAGGAGCACCCAAATCCAGACGTCCAGGGAGAGAGGGAGAGTGAGTGAAAGAGAAGCTCAAACATAGACCTGCAAACTGCTGACTGCTGTATTTGAATATATTTCTCTGCTTTTTCCTGATGGTCTGAATACGTCACTAGATTATTTGCATTTTAGAAATAAAGGCGCTTTGAAGTGCTGAAAAATTGATAAATCTAGTGAGAAAGTTTCAAAGTCGACAACCCTGGTGCCGGTTGCATCTCGCTGTATTTCCTTACAATTAAAGTGATATATATATTCCATGATGCATAAACATAATAATTTAATTTGTAATGATACATTTCTCTACTGTCTACTGCCAGAATCTTTGTGCCCCAAGTGCTATTTTGATTGTCCCGGGACAAAAAGTCATCCTTCATTTTGAGTGCTTAGAAGTGAGCCACCTCACATGAAATATAGACCACCTCCACTTATATAATGAATTCAGTTCTATATAAGTTACATAAAACATTAATCTTTCGGGGAAAGGGCAGTGGTGCAATTTCACACAGCAAATGTTTGTTTAATGAGTGTGACTGTTGTTTAGGCCGTTGTCTAGTAACTTCATTGATCACGTGACAAGATGCGTAAGGATCTGTGTGACTTTCCACCTCTGCTAAAGAATGCCCTATGGGAAACCCTGTTCCTCTGCAGATTCGCTGAAGTGCTTAAAGCTCAGTGGGTGAAAATGTTATCAAGTTAAGATGAGATGTTTTTTCTACATTTTCTTGGAGGAAATAATTTGCAAATGTTAAATCTGTCTAAAGAACATATCAGCGAGAACCAGGATTAATTCAGTGTTAAACTACGGTCATAGGCCTTTTCCAACAACAGGGAGCCGGCTCCGTTCTGGTTCTGGTACCTAGTTTTGAACTGTTTGGAGCCTTTCAACCCAAAATTAATTAGTTTTCTCACATTTGCAAAAAGTTGGTTCCCATCTGGAACCAAAAAAACAGCAGCTTTTCCTTGGCAAAAAAAGTGTGTCATATTCTACAGGTTGTTGTCCATCAGATTCAGACTGACCCACATGCATTCACCAGCAAGTGAACTCTCTTCAGATCTATGTAGAGTTGGTTATCATGAGCCATCTCTACTTCCACTTGAGTAACAAATGGGCTTTTCAATCATTTTAGGTTTCACAGGCAGGTACAGGACTGTTATGACATGCCAACAGACACACGGCCCACTGCAATACGAGAGCTGTGCTTGTTTTGTGACAACAAGAGTGCCGAGGTGACCCTCGACCTTTCTGTTGTCAAGGGTAACCGACAGGTACAGTAAATAAGCTTTAGCGCAGTCGTAGGTTGAGCTCCCTCATATAAAGTGGTTTAATTCACTGTATAGTAATGACATTAGTATCTCTGGTATTTAAAACACATCTTGAAACATTACCTCCCTTTAATAATAGTAAAACAAAAACCAGCAACATTTAAGATTACTACATCTTTTTCTTCCACATGCAGTACTAAAGGTCCTTCAGTCCTGCAGTTTGGAATGCAATTTCCTGCAAAAGTAAACCACTTTCCAAGCAATTACAAATGGTTTGAGATTGAAAAGTGTGATTGTAGCATGATATTGCATGAAGTTAGCGCAGTAACAACGGCAGCTTCAAAATGAATGCGATCTTGAGCTGCGGATGAGCCACTTACACATTTGTGGTGTAGCTGAAGAAATATCGAGGTGGGACTGAAGTAGCAGAGCACTTAAAGAGTAAATAAACAGATAAATCATCACCATATAGCAACCCAAAATAAATGTCACAACAACGTCAACATAATGTTTGTCTCTGCAATTTCAACCTAAGGAAACAATGCTCAGTGTGATTCAAACCACATAATCTTACATCACATACAGCTGCAAAGCATTACTTTTCCCGTCTGCCTCTTTAGCTGCTCACACTCCTTGACTAACATGCTCTTTAACACACACACACACACACACACACACACACACACACACACACACACACACACACACACACACACTTAATTGGCAAACTCTTGGCCAACATATAATGCCCTTATTGTCACCACTGCATACATGGCTCCTATTTCCCCTCCTTCTACAGCACAGACCCAAACACAGCCACGCTGTACACTGTATAAAGAATGTAATTATTCACCCTTTCTTCGCCTCTTCTCCCCTGAACACGCTGCAACCATCATGTTGTTCTCCTTGGCACGCATCTCATAATAAACTCCACGTCCCTTCAGCCCTCTGTCCCACATGAATAACTGATCTCTATCTCACCAAGTCTCCTCCTTTTCTCTCCATTACACTATCTCAAGTTTCTACCTCTTGTAGCAGAGCAAAGAAAGAGAGCCAGGATTCATTAAAACTAATAAAAATGAGGTAAATCAGGAAGAACCGGTTGGGAATGTAAACCAAACCTGTAAAACAGTGTAACACTTCTCAGTTTTAATGAAAGTGGGATGAAGAAAAAATAAGCTAATATGCTGCTTTTTGTCTAGACATGTCTAGAGTATACAGCTTCAACAGAGATGTCTCGCTGTCTATTTATGACATTTACATGTATTGTTTACTAAACAGATCTGAGCTAAACCCATCTGGATGGGTAAACAGGGAAAACACCAACAAAAGAGAACCACCCTTGTGTAAATGTTTTAGTATGTGTGAAGTATTAAACGGAAAATGATAACAAAGCCCACCAGTGTCAACAGAAACACCTGGTTTACCATCAACAGTAAAAGAAGATGCAACAGATGCAGACAGACAGGTAAATACCTCAAGACTGATTAAAAGAGCCTTTTACTGCTGTACTTGACTGAAAATAAAACAAACTGTGGTTCTCATTATTAAATGAGTGCATACAGTTACAGAACCGTGTTAGATAGCTGCTGTACTTAAACACTACAGCTCTCACAGACAGACACACACACAGACAGACAGACAGACACACAGACAGAGAGCTGCCTGTGTCCCCCCAGAAAGCCACGAAGGCAGAGAGACATTACGAGTCAGTGAAGAACCGGCAACTAAACTTTAACCGGCTGCCACAAAGTGAACAAGACGTTAAACCGTAAATATATTCAGTCACACTAAAGTTAAAGGCTTTGTGGTCGACGCACTGGAGAGTAAGGGTGCTGTCAGTCAGATACTCTCACACCCTGGAGCTGGAAACACACCGGTTAGCCACCATGCTAACATCAGCTAGCAGCTTGAGCTTGCTAGCTTTAGCCTCCGCCAGGCTAACGTTAGTACTATCCACAGGCTTTAACACTGGACTTCACCCTGAGCTCAGCCTTCATCTGGTCCCCATTTCGTAGCGTTTAAAGCTGTGTGGCTTACCAGCTGCTGAGGGTCCTCAAGTCCGCCTGGTTGGCCATATTTACCGGACTGTTTGGTCAGAAGTTTCTCGTCGATGAGAGTTAGCTCCTCCTGCCTGGAGACTCTGAGCCAACTGCACTGATGTCTCCACACACTGTCACCACTTAACCACTGATATACTACACATCTCATATATATTGTATAACAGTAGAAACTGGCATCTAAACTTTAAAATGAGAGGAATGTTTTAGAGATACATATTTTACTGCTGTGTCTCTTTGGCTTTGACCACCCCCATTAATTATCTCTATGTGTACCTGCATTGATATGAAGTGGGTGGACAACATGTTAGGAAGACAAACATCTCTCATACAACCACACCACAAACTGCAACCTCTAAAATAAAGCAGAATGAACACCCTAACAAATGTGAACCTTAATGAAGGTAGGATTTACTGCTGCTGTGTTTGACTGCATTAGTTCAGCTACATGTTGGTACATACTGTAATAAACTGTCCCTGCAGAGACATTTGACCAGACAGCCAGAAACCAAACAGCATTCAGATGATAGAACAAGCTGCCAGCCTTGGTTTTCTGTGTCACTTGAGCCCAGTTATTAAGTAAAATAAAGTTCTTAAGACTAGATTTTCAGACAGGGTCACAAGATCCATAAGTATAGTGTACATTAGTGGTAGTAATTAAAAGTTACCATAAACAACATCACACAGTGAACCTGAGGTTTCTGGATCCCCAACTATGCCGGATTGGTAGTGGTGCTAAAATAAGGAAGAATAAACTGCACATATACATAAACAACATCATCACAAGAGTTCTCAAATATAAATATTTATTGTGATTGTTGTCTTTATGATCTACAGTCAGGATTAATAGAACACTTTGTGTAAACAATAACATGAACAATTATTTAAGATGCTAGAACAAGGGCAGTAAGTAACAATGTACATCAGCTAAACTTAGTCCCATTTGTCCCAATATGACTACTGCTTTAGGATAGGAAGTGCAAATATATAGCTTTCATTAGCAACATTTATAAAGTGTGGATAACACATTAAAGTTTCCCTGGGTGAGATATCAGCATTGTGAAGGTTACAATAGAAAGCTACATTCACTTTGTATGTCAGTACTCTTGACATGATTCTTTAAGTTGTGGTGCAGACTGTCACTGGAAACACAAAACAGACATACATACATACCCCAAAACACTGGAAATATGCCAAAACCAACCATCAGCTCTACAACTTATAGTATGCTGGTGGAACAGTATTTCCTGTCGATAACTCTGTGCACTATTGTCATTAAACAATCTGCTTACAACTGAATACGAGCCGGTTTAACTGCAGTATCATTTGCAACAATCACGATCCTCGTAGTGACTCAGTTTTAGGCACGCAATGTTTTCATAATATGATATAGTAGTTGAAACATAATAAAGGTGTTGTAGGACATTTTCTGACAACAGTATACAATGAGCATATTAACTAACAAAACTGTAAACTAGACGGTCAAAACAATACATGCCACCTTATTGATCAATCAAAATGGACAGAAATTGTACATTTACCACAGTGCAAACCTAAAATAATGCATATTTTGTAAGTATCTGTGCACAGTGACTCTGCTCAGAGGTGTATGTTGATACAGAGGTATGTTATAAGCCGATGGATCAAAGACTGCCGCTTCAGCTCTTCCCCATCATCTTCAAGAGAAGCTATGGAGGAAAGAATTAATTAAAACACCACTGAGTTAACAACAAATAAAGTGCCAGCCATCACACTATATATTATTCAGAAATGCTTTTTGGAAAAATGACTAAAATGGTTGGATATTTGATGAAAAGATGGCAGACAGTTTCCAGGATTATGTCCTGGAAATCAGCGGTTCAAGTTGACTATTGGTCACATCAAATAAAGCTCATTCTCATAATGTCAGCTCCAAGTTGTACATCAATACTGGACATTAATATTATAATGCTATTGGTCAGAGAAAGAAAAAGGAAAGAAAATAACAATAGTTCAGTGTGTGTACCTTTGTTAGGTGATACTCCCCATCTACCAGTTGCTCAATGATACTGAAGTGGTCTGTGTTGGCCACATCCTCCATGGTCACACTAAGTCCTGATGCCTCCAAAGTCTTTAAAGCCAGAAGAAAGAGGTGAGACTATAGTACATTACACATACATATCTGAACACATCTGAACATAGCCAAATAAATTAACTTTCTCAGTTTAAACAGCAGTATGATGTTTTCACTGAGAAATGAGAGGTCACAGTAAAATCAATTGCTAGAAAACTGACCCCCCAAAAATTTGGGCACTTGATTAACTGATTGATTCAAAGTTTTTAATAAAAAATGGAAAAATGGAAAATGTGTGACTTTAGTCTGTTTCACATGATTCTATATTGAGTATTTTTTGGCTATGGACAAAACAAGTGATTTAAAGATGTTAACTTCCACTAAAAGAACTTGTGATGAGCATTTTTTACTATTTGTAGACATTTTATAAATAAACCATTGATCGAAATTGATGATAAAAGTAAATTAGCTTATCTTTAAAAAAGGTACCCCAAGGAGTTTTGGACCACTAACGCAATGTTTTTAAGAGTAGGTTCACATTTTGTTTGTACTGTAAACAAGGATGCAACTGCACGGGATACACATTCCTGCCACTGGTTTTAAACTGTTGCACGGTCCACAGCTGGCAGTAGTAACACACAAAGAAACACAACAATGTGCCAACAATGGCAGTGAAGAAGAAGGATGCAGACTGTTTGCAAGAAAACTCCCCAATAAATAATTCCCTTCATGCTCTAATCAAAATATTCATGCTCCATCAGCTGCACTGACTTTGTAGTATTCTTCAGACTGCTTGCGAAACTCCGGCGAGTCGTTCGCAGCGACGGCCACAACGATGTGGCAACTGGAGGAGGAGAGTTTGAGCTGAGGGACCAACTTGCTGGGGCTGTTCCTCACCGCCACCTCCCTGCCAACAGGAGACAACCAGGGGGGGGGGGGACAGAGGAGTCAAATACAGACTGGCACGACAAACCCGCAGAGAACAATTACACAAACACAAAGACCTTTGCACACACAGTCCTTCTCCACAAGGACAATCACACCACTCAACACAATGCTCTCCACACAGTTCATTTACATGCACACACATAAAAAAGGATTACTGCAGGGTTTCTCAGGTTTATCTGGATCTTGATCCCATTTTCAAAACCTAAGCCGTTAGATTTCTCAAGCTGTCATGTGATTTAAAAGAAGCTCAAAATGTATTATTCTGAAAAGATTATACAAGTCAAATCTGTTTTTATAAGAAATATGTATGCATTAAGAGTCTCTAAAGTAAAAAGTAACTCAAGCACCCAAGGCTGAGAAACTCTGGATTATTGTGACTAATCAGGTTAAGAAAGGAAATTTAATTATCTCTTATGTTGTAAGAGTCTGATTACTGTACGCTGTAACCCTGTTTATCTGGTCAGTAATCGGATTAAACCCCTCCAACAGAACTCCACCGATTTACCATTGCACTCCTAAAGCATTGTCAGACTCACAAGAGACCTTTAAGAACAAGAAGGAACAGAATCAAAAGAGCAAGACCAGAGTTGTCTGCTCGTATTACAGATATTCTTCCTTGTGCCTGCTGCCTACATTGCCCACAATGCAACTCAACTGCCGACAGTCCACTCAGAGATTGCACTTTTTGCACATTTTAAACTGTACATTTTACCATATATATATATATATATATATATATATATATATATATATATATATATGTTCTTAATATATTATATGTTGTATGTATATCTGGAGTTTGTAACGAAAGTAATTTCCCCCTGGGATTATTAAAGTATTTCTGATTCTGATTCTGATTCAGGTGTGTCATGCTAGTTGCGGCTAATGTAGCTTCAATCGATCACACACTTTCTGTCTTGCACTAGAGGTACAGTCACATGCACTGCCATAAGGAACATACTCTGTCATCTTCAAAGGCTCGTTGACGTAGGTGGACAGGATGGGCAGGAGGTCATATATGCCACTGACAAGGAAAGCACCTAGAACACAGTTAGAGAAAAGACAAAGGTTTTTCAGCACTTGTGTCTAAATTTTGTAATTTCAAGCATCTTTGCTTCTTCCTCAGTATTCTGTTTGTCATAATGCAGCAATGCATTTTCTTTATCTCTACCACTCATCCTGTTTCACCTAATGGATCTCACCTTTGATCTGAGGTGTGATGCTGTACTGTGACCAGTCAGTGGAGAGTACCATTGCAGCCAGGTGAGCCCCAGCAGAGTGGCCACACAGGTACAGACCACTGAGGGAGAGATCAGAAGGACACACAGTATTATGTGACGGTGGGAAGTTTAATGTAATGCATTAAGATGAACTAACTTGAAGCAGGGGGATAATGGTTCATAGA